TGGGGTTTCGCTGGCACAGCACAGGTCGCAGAGGCTCAGTGGTTATCCCATCCAGGTCCTCCTGCCACTGGGAAGGCAATCTGCCCCAGCAACACCACAGGGCTGGATGTACACAGCCGTTTTGCCTGCAGAGGTCAGGAAGGGGAGCAGGATTTGACTCAGAGTAGTGAGGTAGCAGCTATTCCCCCCGCCCCGTAACTCCTTCACTGGCCAACATCCGCATGGTGCAGCACAGACCTTGGGAAGGAGCAGCAGGAGGAAGGCGGCTGCTTCCCAGTCCAGGGGACGTTCAGCAAGCGTGTCCCAGGCACTGAAGGCAGGACACCCTTTCATGACTGAGGGAGCCCGGGCACAGGCTTCTGCATCATGGAACCCAGCAGATGTGGCTCAGTGTCCCAGAGCATCCCTGACAGAGGGGAGCAGTCTAGCAGGTGACGGGGGAAGAGGTTTTTGGGGAATGAGGGCTGAGAGGAAACAGAGGAGATAAAGTGGAGGGGGCAGAGGGCATCTCCTGGCTGAAGTATTAGGTTTGAACAGTCATCAAAAGAAAGTCACAGTGGTGTTACGCAGCATTAGTTAGGGTACAGGTGATGGAGAGGAGGGAGCAGAGGAGGAGGAAAAGATCTCTGCAGAGGGAGAGCCCACATTCAGTGGACAACTCCAGTTCAGTGGCCCATGTTTTCCCACCCTGTGCCCTGCAGTGACCACACACCCATGGTTGGGGTGTTGGAACCATCTTTGCTCAGTAATCTCCTCCAGCTGCATCCCTCCACCCCTTCCCCCAAATTCCCCCATCAGTGAAAGGCACTAAGGCAGCAAGGATGGGGAGTTAGGGAACAGGGTGTTGTATTCTTCCTGAAAAGTAATGTGTCTGAGTCTCCGGAAAGCCAGAAATGTGAGGGAGCCCTGTGAGGAGAGAGAGGGGTGTGGGAAGGAGAATCAGTAAGGAAGAGCAAACCAGAGCATTTGGCTGAAATAAAACACCTAAGGAAACAGGTGAAGAGGATGCCTATTTAGCCACTTGCAAGCCTGTGCATCGAGGAGGACTACTGCAGGTGGTGGCACCTCAAAATGGTCCTGAGGGACCCCTTGCAAAAGCCATGCTCTTTGTAACACTCTCTGCTGGAGCTTGCAAGGGCCTTTTGGCAGCACTCGAGTGCACGACACAGCTCGTGGTGGGCGGACACACGCTGCTGTCCCCTGCCTGTGCTTGGTGTCACCTTGGCAAGGGTGCTGGCTGTATAACCCTTTGGGTGCCCCCTTCCTCTCTGATAGCTTTGTGGTCTTACAGCAGCCTTCCTAGCTTCCTAGCTGGCCCATACCCAACATTAAGGCCTGTAGGGAGAGAAGATAAAGCCACAAGGACTTATACAGGGACAATGGCCTAAAATGCTTTCCAGCATTGGCACTATCCTGTCACTTCAGACAAAAATCACTCAGGCTTGGTGCTCTGAGAGATATGAGGAAATCATGGAGGATATTTATACTGCACACCACAGTTTTTTCCAGGGAACTAGCAATAAGGAAGTGCTGGGGAAAGGGCAGTGACACAGCACCATCACCTTCCTAAGAGGCAACACAGTGGAGTGGTGCTGCAGTCATGGGTGCAGGCAGAGAGCCCAGAGGGACGTGATCACAGCCTTTTGTGGCCAGTAATGATATTTCATGCGATGGGGTGAAATGGGTGCAACCCCCAGCCTGGAGCCCTCTTCTCTGCTTAGCATCTGTGAGGTGAAAATGTTGTTAAAGGCCTCTGACGTATAGGGAAAATGATGTTTGGGGAGCTGGCTTGTCCAAGGTCCTAAGAGATGTTTGTCACTCTTTACTGCAGTAGGGGACCCTCTTTCCCATTGTGCTTATTAATGCTCTAGCACCTTCTTCCATGTAAGTTTCTGAGTCCTTGTTTCCCAAATTTGCCTCCTAACCACTTCCCCTCCTGCTTTTCCTTCACAGAAGACATGTGGACAGAGTTCTCAGAGGGAATCACTCTTAGCCAGTCACCTTCCATTCCCCACAGTATGGGGAATACAGTGCAGAGGACACTTATTCTGACATCATGGCTGCTGTACTCACCCAGGTGAAGATGGAGAAGAACGAGAACGTGATGGCTGCTCGGGCTGCATCCCCTCCCTCATTCATTGGGTTGTCCTCTTCTTTTGAAGCTTGCCACTGGTTGGTCAGAAAGCAGAAGCCAACGAACCAGAGGAATGCCCAAAAGGCTGGGATGGACCACCACCAGCATGCCAAAGAGGAAGGGGAAAGACATCAAGAAGGTATGTATGAACAGAACATAAACACATCACATTTCTATGGAAACTTCAACCCAATGAGACCCACCAGTGTGTTGCAGACTGGGCCAAACTCTGACTGTGCAGCCTAAGCTCGAGCAGGCTGGCAGGCTTGCTGACAGCTAAATTGTCAAGGTGAACATAGGTGTCTGCAGAAAGTACTTCAGGAGAGTTCATTTGCTTGTGTTTGGATTGATCACGGGACTTGCATTTGGCCTTGGGAGGGAGCCTGAAGGGCTTCCAGCACCGGAGCGATCACCTGGGCTCTCCGAAACAGCCACTGTTTCACTACCCTATCCTGCAAGGACGAGCGAAGAGCAGTTCCTTCCAAGGGAGCTGCAGAAGAGTGGGAAGCAGCCAGGCTGCAGTTGCAGAGAGACCAGCTTTTGCTCAGGACAGCACAGACTAAGGGGCTCATGCTGAGGAAAGGTGCTGAAGGATCATTAACATGATCTCTACCCCGGGGAAAGGGATGAAGGTAGAAGGGAGCCCTGAGTCCAGACTGGCGGCTGGTGGGGAGGAGTGGGACTCACCCTCTTTGCCAGGCACAGCCAGATGCTCGGCACCGAGAGAAACAGGCATTGCTAAGTGGCAGCAAAACAGGCTCAGTCCTTGCTCTTCTGTTGTCAGCTGTACACAGGACTGCTAGGCAAGGGGCTAACCGTGGACAAACTTGCAAGCCAGAAGCCCCAAACAAGTTCAGATGCTGCACCTGATCCTGTCCTTGCTCTGCTCGTGGCCCCTTTGACAAACTGTGAGAGGATCCTGACAGGTAGAAGTTTGTCTCTATGGCTGGAGTGAGCCAGGAGAGCGACTCAGCATCATAGCAAGAGAGCAAAGCGCCTCCTCACGATGCTGCTGACCGGCGTTACACACACACGTACATGTGCACCATCAGCCTGTCCCTTCAACTCACTACTGGGGATGGAGAGATCTGACTCTGAGTTAGAATAAGCCTGAGGGCTGGATGAGGTCTTGCACAGCTATTCACATGGGGAATGCCAGGTAACCGAGAAGAACTGATTTAGTCAGCTTGCATGAAACCTTCAACGTACTTTTTGTTAAAATATATAGGGTTTGATCACCTGGAGCTGGGAGAGAAGGAAGCACCATCTCCAGAGGCATCAACACTTGGCCTTAGCAAGCACAAGCATGCAGGGAGGCAAGACCAGGTGATCCTAAAGGTCTCCCTGAGCTATGTCTATAGAGAACAGCAGAGAGGCATCAGCCAGATTGGCTGACAAGAAGAGAAAGGGAAGGAAAAGAGGAGGGAGGGGGGAGGAGGAGGAGAGAGAGAGAGAGAGAAGGCCTGAGAGATTAAGGAACCCAAAGACCTCCCGGATAGCAGGGACCTGGCCTGCAAGGTGGCAGAAGCTCCTACACTCTCCCTCACTAGCAAAGGAGAGAAGCATTAGGGCCAACCAGCCAGGAAGCTCACCCGAGACTCCGATGTCCGAGAGCACTGCCTTCTTGCGGTCCTTGACGCTGCTGATCTGCGGAAAGTAGGCATCCAGAGCCAGGTAAAGAAGGCAGCTGAGGAAGGCGAGGACACCCACGGTAATGCCATAGTTGCAGGCATTGCGATTACGGTTGAAAATGCAGTGCTCTTGTGTCTCGTCCAGGCGGTTCACGTACCCTTCGTTGACAATGGAACCAAACACCACGATGGAGAACACCTGGCGAGAAGGGAGGCAGGAGACATGTCAGGGTAAGCCCCACCTCTGTGGACTGGCATAAAGGAGCAGGGCTCTGCAGGGGACAGGCATCCTTTGCAAGCACCTCTGGGCTTTGCTGAGCTCCCATCCTGCTGCCTTGCCTGGGCTGTAGCCATAGGGAATTTACTGAGGACATGGTCTCATTCTATTTCTAAGGATTAACTTAAAATAGGACACTTTTAAATTGAGCCTTTTTATCCATCTGATCAAAAGCGATGTAAAGCAGTTGCAGTCTGGAGTAAAGGTGGCTTCTCACAGACACACAGGGAGCTGACATGGAGTGTAAACTGGAATATGGTTTTGGTGCGGGTGTCTGCATACAAGGGCTCCAAGTAGTGGAAATCCTCTTAGTCTGCACTTATTCTCCCACCCACTCCTTTCCCTTCTAGGAATTCGTTGTTTCTACCACGCATTTATTCACTAATTTTATCTATCCAGCTACTACGCTCTTTTTCCCGTCCACCCTCCCACAATCCACAGCCCTGCTTGCTCTGCAGCTCCATTCTGCCAGGCTCCCATTCTCCCCACCTCCCCGCACATCACATATCTCCCTCCACCACTTTTCCACCAGCCCATCACACCCTTCTGCCCACTCGCTCACAGGCCGACACCCTCCCACTTTACCCACAGATTTCATGAGCCAAACATCCCCTGCTTCGGGTCCACCTGGCAGGGCAACCATGAATCCCCCTCTACCCATCACTACCACTGCTGCTCCGTGTTATTTTAAATCAAGTAGAATTAAGGATGAGTCCAGGTAGAAACGCCATAATCCGCAGACACAGGTCTAATCTTTGCTCACGGGCTTAGCCTTCGTCGCCTGCCACAAGGCTGTCCCTCTTTGACACAGCAGGTTCACTGAAGCAGAAAGCTATTTACAGCAGTCCCAGTCCTGCACCTGAAATAAACAGCTTCCTCTCGCAGGCACAAGAGAAAGAGGGGAAGATAAAGGCATCTTGAGACTCTACAGGCTGCCCCATGCAGATGGGACATGGGACCTCAAGCACGGGGTGAACACACACACAGTGATGCACACTAGGACATCACCAGAGCACTCTGCTAGCCCGGGAGTTGTCTGAGCAACAGGAACCTGGCACCCTTGGAACCACCACCCAATGCCCAAGGAGAAGCAGCAAACAAGAAAATGAGGTGGCCAAGTCTCCTGCATGGAGTAGAGGTAGGTCTGAGGGGTTTCTAGGTCAGAAGGACCCCAGTACCACTTAACCTAACCAAGCAGCAGAAGAGGACATGGCAGACAACCCAGAAAGTGGAGTAGCAGCGCTTTATGCGTGAAGATAAAATTATTTAGTTGATTAATGCCAATCCAATACTCCATCTGTCATCAGTGGAATTCGATGCCTGAGATCCACAGCACAGACCTCTGTTCTTTGACCTGTGGCACCAAGAACCAGAGGAAAAACCTTATTCATGGTCCCAAACAGCCCACGGGCAGATACTCAATGCCGACCACGTTTCAGCTGCCAAACTCTAACAAGTACCTACTGACGCCGATACTCTTTTTTTACCCCAAGGCTCATAATTGACTCACACTTGAGTTGATGAGATTGGGTGTATTTTTGACACACTAGAGCAAACTAAAAAAGCTGGCAGCCGGTTCTCCTAAGCATCGAGACTACAGTCTCAATGGGTTCTCCGAAAGCTCACAAGAGCTTTTTAAGCTTAGAAGTAAAGCAGCTGATTTGTCCTCCTGCCCCTACTTCTTGAAAATCGAAATTGATCACACGTTGCAGAAATTGCCAGTGAAAAATTTCAGCCTGAATGGTTCAGAAAGCAGCGAAATTGCAGACCATTAAAGCCAGGCTCTTTCAGCCTCTTTCATCTCACACACCTTCAAAACAGGCTGGACTGACGGGTCTGCTTAGGACCATTGGCAGCAACACCATGTTCCTCTGACTTGAGGGGCAGGTGACGGCCTCCTGAAGTGAAGCTGTGACCAGCACCGATGCTGCCACTTGAAACACCAACCTCCATATACTGGGATTACAAAGTGGGTGCCCTGTTTTCCACAGCATTATACAGAAAGCGTATCTTCTCTTTAGAAGATGAGGAACAGCCTCAAAAGTGGCATAGCCTGGTGTTGAGTTTTGTTCTTGGGTTCAAAACTGGTAAAATGTCGATTCTCTGAGTCAGGTCAACCCTTGCAACAAGCTGTATTGCGAGTCTCTGCTTACTCATTTGGGATGAACGAACTTCTGTAATGGCCTCTCCTCAGAGACACTTCTGTTTACTCTGCTCATATCCTGATACACATCTTCTGTCTGCTCTTATCTTTGCTTTTGCCGCTGGCTTGGAAGAGCTCTCATCTGTGAGCAAAAGAAGCAGAATAACTCCTTTTTGTGTTTTCTCTTTCATACCCTTTTATGCTGGCATGTTGTAAAGACAATGCCCAGAGTCATGAGACCAGAGAAGCATCTCTCTCTCCCTAATTTTCAAGCAGAGGTAGCATTCCTAACTTTCTTTCTCCATCTTTGCTCAGCCGACATCCCACAACTTCTCTCCTATGAAGAGAAACCTGCTTTGCAGCATGGAGGTCCCCAAGGTATGATTTACTGGCAAGCATCTGATTTAAGATGATCTTAGGAGTTTTCAGGGAAGATTCCACTATGGGTCTTCCCAGTCACGAACAGAACAAGTCATGGCAGATTCTTATCTTCTGTGTCCTGAAGCAGCCACCCCAAAGTATTCTTTATGCTTCGGAAAGCTTTCTACCAAAGCAGACCAAAGCAGAGTAGCTTGAGGGGTGTCTCCTCCTCTCCATATTTTCCTCACCACTGGCATCAGCTCTGGTCCATGCTTTTGTTCTCCAGTGCTGCACAGAGGGCAAAGTCAGTGGCAGTGGAGAGGGCTCACTCCCTTTCCCAGCCTACCACCACCCTCATGGCACAGCAAAATGCTGTGAGGATCTACTGGGCTGGGTAACACCAGCTGGGCAAGAGTGGATGAGCTCAAACCAGGGCTGGACAGCAGGAGACAACGAGGCAATCGCTGCTGCTGCTGACAGGCAGCATCACCCGCTTTATCACTGTTTAAACAATTTTCGAGAAAAAATTACAAGAGCCCAGATCTTGCAGCCCTCAGAAGAAACTGCTGCACACTTAATCCATGGCAGCTGCTTCTTGTTGGTAAGGGGGTGGGTGGAAGCTCACTGACATAGCAAGTCACCTTTGAAAGAGCAAGTATTTTTTATTTCCTTGATCTCACAATCCATGCCCAGCAAAGTTGATCCAGGCAGCAGGTGCAGTATGAATGTCTATGGATTATAAACAAAGCACCAAGTTTGCAAGGGTGAAGCATCTGCAGCTCTTTTGAAGAAATGCCAGCTGCCTGCAGCTCTTGCCTCTCTGTGTTACTGCTGCTTGTTCCTGCCACCACTGTCTGGCACAGCAAATTGCCTACAGCCACTAATAAAATGGTCCAAAATACATGTCCAGCTGTGAAGAGGAGGCAAGGAGATGGTGGGAGTCTTCTCCTGACTGAGTACCAAGAGGTAGGGAAGTGACTTGACTGAAGGCTGACAAGAGGCAGGAGCAGAGCCCTGTGTCCTGAGACTCCCAAACATGGCCCATCCTGCTCTGCTGAAGGAGGTCACTAGCCACTTCCTAAGCTTGGTGACAAAAACCAGCCCGTCATCCTCAACTTTGTGCACCTGAGCTGTCTCATTTCTCTGGAGGGGCTGATTAGGTCAGTTAACAGGACTCGAAGTAACTAGATTTTTAGGTTGAGAGTGTTTCCTTAAGCCTCCAAGAACAATGCTAATTGGGCAGGTGTGCGGCCTGTCTGTGTGCATTTAATAAGTGGTAATGTATTTGGCTGTGCTCAGAAAAGGGGACAGAAAACAGCACGTGGAGAAGATGTGACCAACTCAGCGCTGCTGCTAGGATCTAGCTTTTCTTGACTTCGCTGCTCCTTAAACATCATATCCACACAGGTTATTGCAATGATTTTCATAGAATCACAGAATGGTTTGGGTTGGAAAGGACTTTAAAGATCACCTATTTCCAACCCCTCGTCATGGGCAGCAGGGACACCTCCTGCTGCACGAGGTTGCTCCAAGCCACGTCCAGCCTGGCCTTGAACAATTCCAGGGAGGGGTCATCCACAGCCCCCGGGCCAACCTGTTCCAGTGTCTCACCACCCTCACAGCAAAGACTTTTTATCAAAGAGCTCCAAGACACCGCAGCGAGCCCAAGCAGGCCAGCTTGATAGAAACCCTCTTCAGCCTCATCCCTGCTGTGACCATCATGGGGATCTTGGGGATGAAGTCCTGAAGCCCTGAGCCAGGCACTTTGCAAAGCTGAAAGAGACAGAGCAACTTCCCCAAAGACACAGCAAATGAACGTAGTGCTAAGCTTTGCAGGGAGGAGACGGGCAGAGGCTAGGAGTCGCCGTCTCAGTTTCTCAAGCGGCTTGTGCTGGTCATTACAGGCGTGTAAGGGCTCCCTACAGCAAGAAAAGTGCAGAACAGGCAAAAGGCTGCATCCCACCATAAAGACTTTTTTTTTTTCATTCCCTCACTGAACCATGTGACCTGATTTTACCAGAGGCAAAGGTGAGAGATGAAACCTCAGAGGAGAGGCTCTCTGCTCCCTCCCCACCTCCCTGCTGCAGGCTCAGCCCCACGGAAAGCTAGGCGAAACCTCCTGAGCATCATGTGAGGCTTTCCAGCACGCTGCCCATCCCCACTCGTGCATCAGACGTTACTGAGCATCATGTGATGGATGCACAGCACGGCCAGCCTCCAGCGATGCACTTGGATTTTCTCACACCTCATCCCAGGAGTTTGTCACGCTGCCTCCTGACTTCATCCCCGAGATCCCCACGATGGTCACAGCGGGGATGAGGCTGAAGAGGGTTTCTATCAAGCTGGCCTGTTCGGGCTCGCTGCAGTGCCCTCCGGTGACAGGCTCTGTCACACTGCGTGTTTCCTCTCCCAACCCCCC